AGAGTGGCGTAAGCAGATAGGTGGCCAACACTTGAATGGTAGAGCATTATGAAGGAGATCACGAAACGCTTGGGTGCTACTCGCCTTCCAGGATGGGGACTGCATGATCCTCACTGTGCCTGGTTGGAGACACTACAAGATATGGCTGTCAACCGATGTTAATGGAGTTCTTGTTGCCAGTTTCTATCCAGATTGCCTGAGTGAGCATCTAGAGGTGTACGCACCTCGGAGTGATTGTGTTAAGCTAGCACTAAGTCCCTTCCCCATCCACCTATACTCTTTTCTTTACAATAAAGCTTTCAAATAAATCATGGTTGTACGACAGTGAAGCATCGGTGTTGAAAACTGATGTCATGCTGTCGATGATGATGATGAATAATTCACTCGACTGGAAAGACTGACCGAACTCTTCGAAGTACAGTTTAGCTGGCCTCCTGCAACACAGAATCTGGAGACAGTCCATAAAGACGAACGGAATGTGAACCTTAATTGCTCGTCAGAAGAAATGAAGTACAAAATATCTGCACTGAAACGTGGGAAGGCATCAGGACCGGACCGACTGAATCCTGCCCTCTTCAAAGGTGGGGAATACTTAATGATCTATCTGGCAAAGCAAATTGGTGCAATACGGTACAAAGAGAAAGTGCCTACAGAATGGGTCACGTCGACAATTATTTTTGTGTTCAAAAAGCGGACGCGGACGCTCCTTGGTTTGAACCCGACTTCTCCTGTGTAGGCTTGGGCAACCTGGCAGTATCCCAGCCCTCGTGCTTCCTTCGGGTGGCATGGCAGCTAAGCACCGGAAAATGATACAGCTGAACGATTACCAATTACCTTCCGTCACGAAGAGACTTGACCTTACCGTGGTGTGGCGGTTTGTGCACCCCGTCGACCCACTGAGCTACATTGAGGATGTCTTCTATAGAGGAGAATGTCGGTAGCTCAGGTAGCGTAGATAGTCGTTGGCTTGTTCGCTGAGCTGGGCAATTTGGTTGCAAACGCTTCACCAATCGAGGTGACATCATCAGTGCGTAGTCGTGGGTAGCGGTGGGTTAGTGGTTGAGGATGTCTACTCGACACTCGCAGTCTCTCTAGTTGGTCAATCCTCCAGTTTGGGGACTAGAACATGGGGTGAGGTGGCTCAAGTGGTTAGAGCGTGAATTTACTGATCTGAATGTCCGTGGTACGAACCTGGCGGTATCTCAGCCCTCATGCTTCCTTCGGGTTGCATGGCGGCTAGGCACCGATAGGGTGTTACAGTTGAACGACTTATCATTTATTTATCTAGAACATGTGCGGCGACCTGTTATATAAAAATGGCAATGTAATTGTATTTCCCGCCAAACATCACTGCCTTGCTGTCAGACTTTTGAGTCAAAAGCTTTGGTTGAAGACCCTTCATCGAGCACATTTCCGTCAGAGCTAACACAACTACCGAAGTATGTAAGACTTCCCACAACCTCCGGTGATTCACCTTCAATGGTAAGAGATATGTTCAACGACTGCATGTCCTGGAGCATGACTTTGCACTTTGAATTCAGTGCAAGGACCTCAAAGTCTCGAATCAAGTTTGCTAATTTGCGTCACTTGTGGCGTTAACAAGACCATTAGTAGATCTTAAGGGTTGCATGTACCAGGCTACAGTAAGGGCTGTGTTGTTATATGGGTGCGAGACGTTGCCACTGAGAGCAGATGTGATGCGTCTTCAGATTTTCGACCACCGATGCCCCAGAAGCGTTGCTGCTTTTGGATGACGCCAGCGGATTAGTAACGAGGTGATTAGAAAATAGATGTTTGGTTGTACGGCAGGTACTTCAATCGCGGAAAACATCCAGCACTGTCAACTGCGGTGGCTCGGCCATGTGTCACGCATGCAGAAACACCATCCACTGAGAAGAGTGTTGCTCTCCGTGCCTCCTTCAGATTCAGCAGCAGTACACTTTCGGGGTCTAGCTGCCATGTTACCATAAAGCAGCACGAGGGTGGGATACTGCTATGGTTGCCCAAGCCTAGACAGGGAAAATCGAGATGCAGAGGTCGGGTTCGGATCACAGACTGTCCAGTCGCACTCTGACAACGGAGCCATCTGGCCCCCTTCCCTTTCAGAATGGCGCAAACCGCGAGGTGGACAGCGTATGACTCGGGATGAGGGCCTGAACGATATCAAGAAGATTTGTACGCCTTCCAGGTTGAGGTCCCCGTGTGCCTGGCTGGAGACACTGCAAGAAATGGCGGCCGACAAGGACAATGGCCTCCGTGCTGTCAGTTTCCTTCCAGATTCTGACTGAGCGCTTGGTGTAAGCACCTCAGAATGCTTGATATAGGTTAGCACTAGGTCTTCTCCCTCACCCACTGATTCTTTTTTCACTCTACGGCCTGACAGACAGGAACCATAACCTCATACTTACGGATGAGCGATTGATTTAGTGAAAAAATTGTCTACCTAGACAGATGTACCAGTCCCGGTGGTCTAGCCAAAGATATTTCCATCTTGATTGGGAAAGCCAGAGCAGCTCTCGTGAGCTGGCTTCACCCGTGGCGTAGGCATGACATAAGCCTATTCGTTAGGGTCAAGATACAAAGCTGCAGGTCGCTCCATAATATTATACAAATTAGGAACCTGGCCGCTGCGAGTTGAGGACGTCAAATTTGTCGTCCAAACATCGATATCTTAGGAGCATTGTCAGAGCTTGGTGGGAACACCGGATTAGTACTGCTGGATAAAGCAAACAGTATTCCAGAAAAATAACTCGCCAACGAAGGATCACACTCCACAGGTCGTAATGAGTTGGTCAGGTGCTCTGTAGGCCAGTTGACCGACTTTCGGACAGCCTCTTCCGCACAAACCTGCGAAGGATGGAAACAAGTCAGAGGACATCAAAAAGTGACTTGTCAGCGAGGTATGGAAGCCACTACCAGAAAACTCAGCTGCCTTCATCATTGCCGTCTCGCTGGATGGGGACGCTGAGACTGGACGCAGCAATGTACGTTCGCTGACGCTCTTGTTGTTACGCATCAATTATATCTGCGAGCAAACCCAATGCGTGGCTATATATCCCCTGCTCAAAACACCGACGAACTACACTGTGGCAGCTATAACCAAGGACATACAAGTACGCGGATTCGGAGCTGACTACGAGGGCACCGGTTTTCACCTGATCAACTTGAAGGGAGCCATTCTTGGTGAGAGCAAGAGCTCTGGTGATTTCTGTATATGGGCGGCAGAAATCGTTTCCAGCATCGCTGGCGGACCGGAAATTAGTTGTAGAATATTTGACGAACACCAGTTAGCGTGACTGATAATTCATGGGTGAGGTTGCGCAAGCATACGGTCTAAAGAAATACAACGGAAATCCTTGGTAGTGACCTAGTAAACCATCAAACCGAATTCAACGTCGTGGAGTAACGCGCCACTAATCACGTGAGACAAAAGTTTAGTTTGTAAATTCGTCAGATCAGGCAACCTGCAGAACCTATCAATGTGAAAACCAGCTACTGCCTCTAGGAAGATAAAATCGCCTGAGTGGCAAGCCCTGTTGGTATACTTTCCCACAGATATGACGCAACCCTTGTACAGAGAATTTATCGTCGTGCCTACAGGCGTTCAGGATTCCTTTGTGTTGAGCTGCCTTACCGGCACTCGGGCTCTACTACTACTACTATAATCCATCACGAATTAAACGAAACAACCAAGAATCAAGTGTTCAGCCTGGTCATGATACTTTAAATGGTGAACAAAACCTGACCAAGACGCTCCGACCCAGCATCCCATACACTCACCAGTGGAATGAAGCACTGATTAGACTTACCGGAGCCTTACTGGCCAAGGGCTCGTAGCGCCATTGCACAGCTCCCGACCACCTGATCCAAACCCACGCTATATACCTGTCTTCCTCCATGAAGTTGAGTACTGTCCCCGTGGTTTCAACACTTCAAACACCACCAGGAAGATAGTTTCCAACCTACTACTCCCTGCTTAAGTGTGCGATGGCTGCACTTGACCTAATCGATGTTGAGATATGGGTAGCTCGGAATTCCATTAAGTTCACCGAACAGACCAACCGAGCGGTACACGCGATTATCCAAGGGTCGCAACCGATTCCTCGGGAATCATCGTGTATACTAATTTTGTACCGGAAGACCTAGCTGCACCGAATGCTTCCAGCGGTTAGCGCTCTGAGATCGCCAGCTCTCTAGGTAGAAGCATGCACCTTCCACTGCTTTATTTTACCGGTAAAATTGAACAAGATAACGGATAGTAACTACATCGGGTACCACCAGTTAGTGCATCTGTTCCGGCTTGGCGGTCTACGAGCTAACGCCACACACAATAGGACGAATAGCAGTTCCGAAAAAGGGATGCGAGGTATTCGCCCCTACCACAACTACGGATACCTTCCCCGGGGATTTAAAAACGAGAAAACTAAATGCACTCAGTCCACGGTTTATTGACGGATATTTTACAAACGCCTACCACGTCGACCACCCTTTCGTCTGGTGCTGTCAGTTGGAATGGGTGTGACGTCCTCGATGCGACCGATACGCATGCCTGATCTAGCCAACGCTCGAAGAGCCGATTGCGCAGCTGGACTGGGTGTTCTAGCCCTGAAGAGGACGTATAGATCTTTAAACTAGTCGGACTAACTTACTTAGTTCCACCAGTAGCTCGAATTCTAATGTGCAGAGCATTTATCCCCAGGAGTTTGCACTTTTCCGCAACGTCTTGTGCGGCTAGCATAGCAGCATAAGGACTAGATTCATCACGGTCCGCCTTGACTTTCATTCCCCCGGTAACCCGGACAATTGTTTCCGCACCGGTAGGGTCCGTAACGTGAACAAAAGTATCGTTGAAAGAGGCATATATATGACATATACCGAAGACGAATTCACCTTCAGCCACTTGCGGCCCCAAAGACACTTGCTCCTCGACAACCTTCTTCACTTTTCGCCTCGCAGCCATTTTTACGCACGCGTGTAGCTCAAAGTGACCGCTTGATGACTATGCAGTTTCAAAGCACCGTTTCAGTTCAGCCGGTCTGCCTTAACGTGTGGGTAAGGTCGCTGGAATACACACTTGTTCGGTCCCGAGGAAAAAAATTCTAACAGCAAGGGTCTTATCAACCGAAGCCGACAAAAATTGAGAAGACATGCTGAACGATAACAGGGGGGAGAGATTCGCGCGTACATTGTGTCCTGGAGATTTCACGGATTCACGGATTGACACAGGATCGAGGCTTTTGCCCAAGTTTCCCGGGTCGGTTTTGTTCTTGTCGGTCAGTGGCTGTCGTTCACCTGAAAGGCACAAGTGAAAAAAGGGTGTAGCACTGCTCTTTATGTTCTCAGCGCGGGGCAGTAT